AAAATCTAGTAATTAATTCCATTCGTCTTTGCCGTTGATAGGGCTATCTCTGGGTTGGATTGTACACAGCAATCGATCTAATACCGACCATAATTTTACGTGGATAATAAATTTTCAACTGACTCATTGGATCGGATCGAAAGACCAACCCATTTATAATGGATTAGTTGATAATTTTTAATATTATCAAAATTTGGTTGACCGATAATTTATATTAGTAAAATTATATTATAAAATATAAAATAAATGGTGTAATTTTTTTTTTAATAAAGTGGGTATGGAATTATCAAAATAGTTAGGATTTTTTAAATTAAACAAAAAAATCAACAAGGAAAAAAAGTTAAATCTTTTCAGAGAAATTGTACGTGGATTTTTGGAATTAGTTTGAATTTCATAATTATATTTTTTATTGAATTGCTATTAACTATTTTGAACTCATGATAAATGATCACGATGAGTGGCACTAGGCAGGATGTGCATATTTTTACTCCAATTTTTTATTTTTTTTAAAGTAAATTAGGCGGCGGATATACTAATCAACCAACTCATTTCTAAACCAAATATTCGGTTGCCAACCATGAATCGACCCACAAAGGTTGGATGGACAATTGTTCTCAAATTTGAGCAAAATTGATTTATCGGTTAAGTCGATTTTTAGGCCGGTAATCGACTGACCTAACCCAGTCCCAACCCTAACTGTTGGATACCTAACACGAATATTGACTCGAAATTAGCCCATTTTGTAAAATACATATAGTTAATATTTATCCATGTTTTCTAATAAAAAGGACCTGATCACTTAAAAATATTCAATTTTAAAAAGAAAATTTATTTTGATTAATTGACTTATATTATAACATGGATGTATTTAATTCCCAATCAATCATGTAATCTTACACCACACATCTACACATATATATACAAAATAATTGAATATATAGTGATATATGGTGTATTTCATTAGGTGTAACTATTGATAAATTAAATCTAGGTCGAACGTGAGTCTTTAAGACTCCTAAAATCAGGTGTGTACTCGTATTTTATGCACACACGACACGACATGACATAGACGACGTTTAGTGTCAAAATCGTTACGACTTTCACTATATACATAAAGTTTATCGTCGAATAGTCGAAAAGTCTACGAATAAAACATCATCAATTTGTTAAAAATAGACAAATGTTGAGTACTTGCAAAATGAAAAATCTTAAATCACTATATATATTGACAAAGTCAAACATCTTAGAAGATCTGACTCCAATAAGTCAACCACACATTCATCACCATCCCTAGTATATCATAAAACCAGAGGCAGGTTTACAAATGAATGTTTCAAACTTCAAACATATATATATATATATATATATATATATATATATATATATATATATATATATATATATATATATATATATATATATATATATATATATATATATATATATATATATATATATATATATATATATATATATATAAAGTGCATGGATATTAGGCAAAGTAGTAAAAAGTATATTTGTCATAAATATGCTTTTATGAATTTCTTTTTATTTTATTTATTTTCGGTTTTAACTACTTTGTATGTGAGTGATAAAAGTATATAGCAATAAATATCACTTTGTTTTTCACTATTTGATTTTTGAGCTTTTAATTTGCACAATTTCATGCAACTCTTTCATATTTATTTTAAATAGAATTTTCAAAATTGTGATGAATTCAACAAATTTTATGGATATTATAATTTCAATTAAATAAAACGAATTCATAGCATTTAAAAGTATTTTATAATTGATAATAATAAACAAAAATGATGAATGTAACAAGAATACATGAATTGTAATAAATAAATGAAATATAGTTACCAATTGAAAGTAGTTGGGCCTTGTAATAATTATTATGAATTAGTTCACGAAAGCCCAAGTAAACCCGGGCCATTAATTTCTTTATAGCCCATTGATTTTGATTAATATACAAACTGAAATGCTAATTGTAGCGGGACTTTTACTGAAATTGGCTTATTTGCAGCGGTATCTTTTCATTTCAACTTTTTTAACTTTTTGAAAAACTCAAAACGCTCTCAACAAAAAAAAGTCGAGAATTCAGATTTTCGTGTTTAGTTTGATAAATCGACTGTCCGACGACAACAAATAACAATATGGCCGATTCTGACGAGTCTTACGAGGTAAATCGAAGAAAGTAGTGGAAGTTGAAATTTTTCGTCGGGTATATCGTGTTGTGGAGCACGGGAATCCGAAAATTTTGCGGTTCCCGTGCTGTACAACACGATAACATCACAAAAAAAAAAAAAAAAAAAAAATTAGATGTGGCTCCCGTGCTGTGTAGCACGGGAATATCAAGTCCCCGTGCTGCAGAGGACGGAAACCTGTGGCTCCCGTGCCATGCAGGACGGGAAACCATGAACGATCGTGCTCTGCAGCACGGGAACCCCAAATTAATTTTTTTTTTTTATATTGTTATTTATATACTAACTATTACTTGTTATATCTTAATAGGGTACTGATGGTGATTTTGACGATGAATTTAGAACTGAATATGACAAATAGTACAACGAGTACGAGGATCCCAACATGTGTTTCGATGTTCCTCAAGACACACCAACAACTTCTGAGGATCACAGTCAATATTTCAATGTAGGTGTTGAGTTTGAAACTGGGAAAGAATTAGTGGAATGGGCAAAAAAAATGGCTGCTACTCATGGTCATCGATTGATAGTAACTTCAAGCCAGAAAAACGTGTATGTAGTAATTAGATGTCATTTGTCTGGGAAGGGACGAGAAAAATGAACCGAAGGTGTAAAACAACGGAATGTGGGAACAAAGAAATGTGGATGTCCTTTTCGTATATACTGTAGCAAAAGTCGAAACGATGGACTATGGCGAATGTGGATGTCCTTTTCGTATATACTAATTATAATAATATATTATATTAAATCATAGTATATTATATTCAATTAATATATTATTAAACTAGATTATATAAGTATATAAATATCTAACTTATATTAAATATTCTTAATACCTGGAGCAGTA